AATTTGCTTATTTAAAACTTACTTTTGAGCGGATTCAGATTCATCGCTTACTCCGTTATCCTCCCCTGTGCATTTTAGGACATTTTCCTACGTTAGCTTCAAAATTATCTTTAGTTCTTCCCTGCTATACTCATTAAACGCTCTCATAACACTCTAGATTTCCGCCTGCTATCATCCAGTTGAGTTGGCTTATTATGAAGTGAATGTTACAAATGTGCGGTTCTTTTCGACACATTTTTCCAGTTACCACTCGAAAGAAAGTTTTTCTTTTATTATTTTGTAGTCATTGTTGATAACACGTTTTACAGTTTTTTCCGATATATCCGTGCTACTTTCGGTAGTATGGATTATATAATGTGTGCTATTTCTCATGTAATTGCTTAGTCATCCTAGGTCGCCTATTGTCACTTGCAGCGAAGGCTGAGTTTTCTCACGATGGCTAACGATGCGATCTCTTATAGTGTCGACCTCGTTTAGGTCTCATCTCCCCGAACATACAGTATCGTGACGTTAACACTCCAATACATATCTTTGGGTGCTATAGAACCACAACAAGTTTGAAATTCACGGCAGACTAGGCCTCGGCCAACTCACATTTCTGGCTGGATTTTGGACCAAAAAATGTCACCTCAATGACTAAAGTTTTGTTACTTTGCTTACCTCCTAAAATTTCGTACATTAATCCTTTTATTCCTATTAATGCGATGTTTTTTGTCTCTTTTTAAATATTATTTTTAGAACCAAAATTATTATTTAATCTACCTAATCATTTTTTTTAATTTTTTAAAATCATAATAACTAAGAAAATTCATGTCCCTACAATCTAAACCAATCTGAAGACAATGCCTTAGGTACCCCGTTTCGTGTTCAGGCCTACTCAACTCAATGTGGCAATTTGTCTTCAGAGAGCATTCGTCATACATCTCTAGAAAGTTACGGCGGTGGATTGGTAGGTCTAATCAATCTCTAGAGTTTTATTACGACTCAATATATTAATGGCAGGTTATTTTCATTAAATTTTTCTCATTGTTTGCCTTTGATAATCCTTGTGATTATTACTGAGCCATCTCTCTTAATTATATGACATACTGTCTTTAACAATAATTCGATTAAAAATTCGTATCCCATCAGAGCACGATTTTTCTTAAGCTCACCAATTATGACTTTGTGATTCCACTCATTATCTTGCTAAGATTTTTATTTTGGCCCTTAGTTGAACTGATGCGCAAACTATTCATGAAGTTTTTCCAAAAAACTGGTTAGACAGATTTCATTATTCCTTTGGACTCTCTTCTTACAATGCTTAATTGAATAAGGTGATTTCATATTTTTGAAACATGGAAGTTGTTTAACCTTCCATATGGATGGTCTATTGTTAGGAATACCTAGAGGAGTGAACATTGTCCGGAGTCTATAGTATGCACGATTATTTCCAGAGTTAGACAGTGAACATTGTATGCTCCTAGTCGATTCGTCGACAAAAGCATCATCAGTGATCCTTGTTATTCCTTGCACCGGAACTCATCGGAGAAACATGTGAAGTCCATACTTTGAACAATTGTCTGCTAAACAGTTGTTATCCTGTCCTGCTACATTCACATATCCTATATCCTCGTTACAACCCGTCACTATCACAATTTCTCACTTGCCTATCTAAGCCCAGTTGAGGTGTGCTCTTTTGAGCGTATTTAGTGAGACCTATTTACATTACCCGCTAGTTCCCCCATCCACACACATTGTGCTGGGAGTATTGCTCCAACGCTGCTCTTTAGTCCGCATTCCTCTATCTCTAGGTCCTATTAGAGTCTCCCTGTTTCTACCTAGGATTCTTCTTTTATTTGCCTGGTTCAGCTATTTCACTCGATCGCTGCTACCAACCATATTTGAAAGAACGTATACGCCAGACTCTCTGAGCAAGCCCCCATCAATAGTATGGAAACCCAACTTGACGCTGCAGATTTCCCAATCTCTCTTTGGCATGTGCACCGAGAAAATCTCATGGGCAAGCCTAAATGTAATGTTGTACTTGGTTTGAATTTGCTCATCGTAGACGAATCTTCTTGATCTCTGCGATTTCTTTACCCTACATTTAAAATATTACCTAGCTCTGGTCGTCTTCTTTATGCTGATCTCCTCCTAGTTTGTTTAGGCTGTATCCAAAATATTCACTAATCCTGCGTCCTTCAAGTCTTATGTTTATTAGATTTCTTCCAGTCAGGATATCGATGGATTCTGGTATCTTGCGTTTTCTTGTATTTTTACCATATGCAGCCAGTTTTTCTGCTAATTACGTGTCTCGTCGGTTCAATGTATTCCGCTATTTCGTGTTTTTCTGTATCCATGTTTATGCAATGCCTTTGATGTTCCTTGAATTATATGCTGATTTCTCTTCATGTTTCACCAATATGCCTCTGCTCGCAGTTGCCGCATTTGATTCGATGAACTCCCGAGCAATCCAGTTTCCTAACCTTCTCGTGTTGTGTCGGCAGGTTGGCGAAGAGTTATGTTTTTTAATTTTGTTATAACCTTGACATTCCATTTTCTTACTAATGGTAGCAATTTTTGGCTTTTTCCACAGGAGGGCAGGCATATCAACTTTTGGTCGTCCTGATTTCTGATATTATTTAAATAAAATCTAAATTGTCATCTGCTCTTTATGGTCCCTATATTTCTTTCTATGGTTTCTCTGCGGTACTTGTTACTTTTTAGTTTGTCCAATTCTTCACCCAGAATTTAGTGCCCCTTAGTATTAAGCTTATCATGATAAAACTTCTCAGTATTCCTATCTTCAATCTGTATTTGTGATGAGAGTGGAAATCAAGGATTATTCCCGCATGTGATTTCTTTCCGAATA